ACCCCTATCCACCCGTCCAGGCCTTCCCCACACTATTATCTGTGTTCATGGGTTATGCATAGATGCATGTATGTTCTTTGGTTAATCTCTTCCTGTCCCCCTTCCCCCCCCAGAGATGTTACTCTGTTCCATGCATCCATACGTCTGGACCTATTTTTTTCGTAGTTTATTTTTAAGTGACATAACCAAAGCATCTCATAGATTAAATAATTTTTTTGTGTGCAAATCATTCCAGTAAGTTATTTCTAGAATCTTCTTCTCAATCTGGGATACAAGTATAGGTGAACCAGAATTTCTCAAATATGTGTAAGTAAGGTCACAAAAGAATGTGATTTTTATTTATTACAGAGTAATATCCAGATTCCTGTCTTATTGACAGAGACAACTGATTCAGCTGTAGTGTGACTTACAGACATATGAGGAAACTCATGAATGCTAGGATTCTACTATGACTTTGGTGATGGCAAACCTGAAAATGTTACTTGCCAACATATTACAAAAGTGGTCTCTATGACCTGGGTATGAAGCAAACCAAGTGGCAGAAGAGGACTGGGGGGGGGGGATTTATTTTATTAACTAAGATGATCTCCCTGAAAAGTTATTTCCTTCTGCAGCTGGGCCAGCATGCACTAGTCCCTATGTCACACTGTTCAAAATGCAAGGTTGGAGCCTCACCCAAAGGATGATGATGGGATCTGTTGCTTTCAATTTGCCTGAAAGCTTAACCAAGGTGTACATATCCAGGGAAGACATTTAAGAGAAACTAAAATTCTTATTAAAATGGCCCCCAAACCACCAAATCAGCATTTTTCATCAATAAGGAAAAGACTGCGTTCCTGGTCTGCAGGATCTTATCAGCGAACTCAGAGTACAGTCTGACAACTGCTCATCACTGTCACTTCCAACTCCTATCTCGAGTGTCTTCAGTAGAAGGAACACCCAGTCTAGTCCAGCTTCTGCCAGAAGAACATTTGAAGCAGTTATGCATGACTCCAGGTTAACAAGTTGTCACCCTTACAAAAGACCTATGGCCATGGAAGGGGGCTAGAAAAGGTTAAACCAAGAGAACTGATTCCCTAATGGACATTAGATAAAAGATGTCAAGGGTTCTGCCTCCCATCTGTGTCATTTTAAAGTTCAAGTCAGAATGCAGAGTAACTAAGAATACCAGTCTGAGTTAACAACGAAATCCTCCAGAGGCACATCCTGCCTCACCTCCATGTTAGAATAGAAACCTAGTTTTTTAAGAGTAGCTCGAGTACACCAAACAATTATTATTCACTAATAGCCACAATCAACTGAACCTGACTGATCTGTCCCATAGGGAAGAGACAAGGTTCTCTCCATTGCAAGGTCACCTACTTCGAGGAGAGGTGCCTGAAGTCCAGTGTGGGGGGAGGTATAGGGGCGGTTGACCTCTAACCCCTATTATCTGCAGTGGGGTGGAAAAGTTAAGTTTGGAATCAACACCAAAACCCCAAGAGGGCACCTAGTTTAACTGACTGCATCATAGAAGTGTTTACCAGGAAAGGCATGACTAAGAAGAAAGAAACAGGCTCACAGTGGGTGCAGCCACCTAGAAAGGAAAAAGTGAAGGAAAATACGCTGGCTTAGAACCAATTCTCAGAGAAGGAAAGAAGACAGACAAAGATGTGGAAGCTCCTGCTCAAGCCACTGGGACCAAGATTTGGTAACCATTACTTTAGATTAGAAATGGCCACCAATGTCTCCTCCTTGCCACCAGACCTTGACAGTCCAATAGAGCCACAGGAGAGTCAAATTTCAAGAATCAAGTTTCACCATCTAAGTGAGCGATGTCCGATAGAACTTTCTGTGATACTGGACGCATTCTCCACCTGTGCTGTTCAACCCAGAAGGCACTTGCCACATGAGCTAGTGACCACTGCCAGGTGGCTAGTATGACTGAAGACCTCTTTTAGTTTCATTTAACTAACTTTAATGAGTGCCACTAGCTTCCTTTGGCTAGTGGCTACCCTATCAGGACAGCGTGGATCTTTAAGCACAACTTCACGTTCACGGTATTTCTGAGACTAGAGGTGGAAACCACAGACTGACTGCACAAACCCAGAGTAGGTTGAAGAGGTAGGGAGGGCCCTTAAATGACTGGCACATGCACAGAATGAAAAGCCTTGCAAAAATCCAAAAACACACACAGAAATACCTATTGTATATTTAAATAGTTCTTGTGGACAATCCTGTCTTTCATTAGATAAACAGATCTCATTAAGTTATTTGTTAGCCTAATATATAATCATTATTCTGTGGAATTCCCTAACACAAACATAACTGGTGTGTTTTTCCTTCTTATGTACCTACAATAACCGTGTATTATTGTGCGAGGCACACTATGTGCTAATAAACATTTATGGTCAAAGAGCTTTTGGCGGACAAGGAGCGAGGTGTGTAAACACTGAATTTCTTCTGGTTATTGGTTAGAGAGCACAATCTCCTCAAAACATGTTCCACAAGATGCTAACAGGCATTACATATCCATCTTCAAGTATCTTTGGGAGATTACTAGTTTTTAATAAACATAAACAGGCATCTTTATTGTAGGAACTCTCAACCTTTACTGCGTGGGCCTGCCCTGGGAAGGTTCCCACGCATACATAAACCTTTTTCTGAAGCAGCAGCTTGTGCTCTGTAGAGCACACGTGGGGAACTATGGTTCCCCATCTTCAGGGCAGGGTAACAAAGAAGGCTGACGTTCTGCAGACCTGAAATGTTCTAAATTAAGAATTTGGGGATTTTATAAAAGTCAATAGTTTAAACACATGAAAATCACACAATTTTAGGTGAATACGGGCGACTCTGATTTATCTATTTTTAAATATATCTTTTTTGATTTCAGAGAGAGGAAAGGAGAGGGAGAGAGAGAGAGAGACATAGAAACATCAATGATGAGAGCCATTGATCAAGCCCACAACCCAGGCATGTGCCCTGACTGGGAATCGAACTCCGATCGCCTGGATGCTAGGTCGATGCTCAACTGCTGAGCCACGCCTGGCTGGGCCGGGTGACTTTTAAAGGAGAAGCAGGTAGCATGCCAGGAGAAGCCAGCCTTGCTGCCTCCCTACCTCTCAGACATCCACTAGGAAATTCCAGGCTGTGCCAAAGAACCTCACACTTGCCCTTCAAGAGAGCATGTCCCTCCAGCCAGGGAGCAGATAAAGGTGAAAGGTAAGATTGCTAGGCCAAGGAACTAAAAGTTCTCTATTTCTGTGTAAAAATACCAACAACAAACAAATCCTACAAAAATGACTCATTTAAAGATGGTATAATGGACTGCATTGTGTCTCCTCAAAATCCATGTTGAAATTCTAATAGCCACTACCTGAGTGGACTGTAATCAGAAATAGGGCCTTGAAAGGTAAAATGAGGTGAGTGACGAGTGGGCCCTAAGCACTACGACTGGTGTCCGTGTAAGAGGAGATTAGGACACAGATGCACACAGAGAAGAGACCGTGTGAGGACACAGGGAGAAGACAACGTCTGTCTACAAGCCACAAGGAGAAAGGCCTCACAAGAAACCAGCCTTACTGACAACTCAATCTTGTACTTCTAGCCTCCAGAATCTTGAGAAAATAAATTTCTGTTGTTGAAGCCAACCAGTCTGTGGTATTTCGCGACAGCAGCTGTAGCAACTACTAGAGATAGCTAGTATAACACACTCAAATTTCACATGCAGCTTTAAATTTACTGCTTCTTTTTTATATAAAGCTGCAGTAAGATGCATGATTAAACTGTTTAAACCATGTTGTCTAAAAAGGTAAAGTAAATCCTCAATGTCCTCAATGGGTTCTTGGAAACTGTGACTTTAAGTGAAACAAAGTATGAGGAAACCAATTTTACCCTAGGCTAAGTGATATAAACAAGAGCTAAGTTCCTACGACACATTTCTGGTCACAACCACATCACCAATCTTTTAACTAAAGATCTCTAACACTTCCCGTATTACACACTGAAACGATGTGAGCTCTACACGCACTTAAGAAAGAATAAAAATAAGTGAGGTCCTGATTTTCCAACCTGCTGGTTAAAGTCCAGTGGTGGACAGAGCCCACCCCAGCAGCTCAGGGTGTCAAGCAGGACCCACCCTGGACAGAATACCCTTCCACTGGAGGGCTTCCCATACCCCCCCACACTCACTCAGACTAGGGACAGCTTAGCCAATTCCTCTCACAGGAACGTCTTTGGGATGTAGGAGGAAACTGGAGTCCCTGGAGCAAATCCACACAGAATGGGGAGAACGTGCCAACTCCACACACACAGTGGACCCCAGGAATCGAATTTTCCCCTCTTCAACATGATAAAGCAAGGACCTGGCTATAATTTGCTAGCTTGATTGTATAAGATTATTCAAATTTAACCACAAATTGACCATTGAAATGTTGTATTTCATTTCCGACACTAACACAGTAAGTTATTTATTAGGGGTCAGGAAGCTTTAAAACTAACCTATCACAGCCCCCGCCAGCATGCTCAGTGGTTACACCATTGGCCTGTGCACTCAAGGTTCACAGGTTTGATTCCTGGTTGAGGGCACGTACCTGGGGCACATGCAGAAAGCAACCAGTGGATGTGGCTCTCTCACATCAATGTTTCTCTCTCTCTCTCTCTCTCTCTCTCTCTCTCTCTCCTCCCTCCCTCTTCCCCCTCCCTTCTACTCTCTCTGAAAAGGCAATGGAAAAACAGACTTGGGTGAGGGTTAACAAAAAACCCACAGAAACAAAACAAAGCAAAAATTAACCCATCATAAAATGGCATTTGGGTCATTTAATATTTTATGGCTTATAACAGGAACTTCTTAGTTCAGATCTACTTTAATTAGGCTTAAGCATATGCATCTAAAAATACCACTAAATCCATTTTTAACAAACAAATGAATTAAAAAAACTTTCATCAAAAATACACTGCCTTGAACTCCGCCCCCCACACACACATACACAGGAAGCAAGTCTAAATATTTAATAATTGTGCCTTGGCTGGTTTGGCTCAGTGGTTAGAGCGCTGGCAGGTGGACTGAAGGGTCCAGGGTTTGAGTCTGGCCAAGGGCACGCACCTCGGGTGCAGGCTCCACCCAGTCGGGGCATAAGCGGGAGGCAACCAATCAATGTGTCTCACGTTGATGTTTCTCTCTCTCCCCCTCCCACTCTCTCTAAAAAGCGATGGGAAAAATATTATCCTCAGGTGAGGATTAAAAACAAACACTGTTAGCCCAGCCGGCGAGGCTCAGCGGATGAGCGGCAACCCAGGGTCCAGGAGATGGCGGTTCGGTCCCCAGTCGGGGCACATGCCCGGGTTCCAGGCTCGATCCCCAGTCGGGGGCCTGCAGGAGGCAGTCGATCGATGACTCTCATCAGTGTTTCTATCTCTCTCTCCCCCTCTCCCTTCCTCTCTAAAATCAATAAAAACATATTAAAATAAATAAACAATTAATTCATGTTTTAGAATAGAGATACACATTATAAAACTGTTGACACTGATAAATGTTCCTAATAAACAAATGTTAAAAAGAAAAGGCCTGTAGTTACCTGGCAGATTAGTAACGAGCTGACCTCTGATAAAATCATCAACCTCTTCCGGTTTTAAGTGGTACTGGCCATCCGGTTTTGCTTTCCTAGTTGCCATTCTGGCCAGGAGAATATTAGAACCTACAAAGCAAACAACAAAAACAAAAGTTGTTCAAAAAGTATTCACCACAATTATTTTTAAAATTCTTAACAAAAATATCTACAGACAGGTTACTGAGCAAATTTCTAAAAACAATGAAAATAAATAATTTGCAATTTTGATCATTTTAAATACAGTATAAAATCAGCAAAATTTTGTTAAGTATCACAGATTATAACCAACATGGTTACTGGACAGAGGTTCCTCTTTGTTCCAAAACAAGCATCACTTCAACATCTCCTACCAGGTAAAAGAGCAGAGAAAGCAGTCCAAATGACTGTGATTCATAGGAAGCTGAGGGCCATGATCAGAAATCAGTTCATTTTACCGACCAACAGATGCAGACAAGGCAGGGAAATCAGGCCAAACGAATTCTATCGGGCTGGGAAAAAAGAAAGCCCAAAGAACCAGAAGTCTCAGTCTATGATCAGAACATGTGCAGTAGAAATTGAGAGCAGGAGAGACTGAGAAACAAAGAGGGATACTGACAGTGAGGCCCGGGGTGTGGATGTGAACACGATACCAAAGCAGAGCATGAAGAGGCTGCTGGGAAGGTATCAGGGACCTGAGAAACTAACATGTTAGATGAATTTGTAAGTAAATAATGACATCTCCAAAAATTATGGAAGGCTTATATAAAAGACAGGTCTTAATTTTATGGAAGACTTATGTAACAACTGTGTGTTTTCCCAGGGTAAATATATAGATATTCATGAAAAGAAAAAGTTCTAGAAAGTCACACCAAAATGATAAAAATGGTGAGTTCTAAAGAAGAAAAGGGGGCCAAGGAGAGGAAGTATCACATGGGAATTTTGTTTTAATTACGTGCTTGGACTTAAAAGAATGTATTCATATCGTCACACTTGTAAATTAAAAATACGTACAACAAAAACAAAAAAACACACAACAAAGTTTGTGCCCAACACTGGACTACACAAGGTAAGTCCTAAATGAACAATGAGAAGGATCTGCAGGCCAAACACCAGGCAGGCTAGCTAGTGATAGAGGGGTGCTATGAATGTATTAACCATGGTTTGTATCGTATGTTATTTTGACATGTTACAAATCTTGCTGGGAGGGGAGAGACTGCCTTCCCAGGGACAGACACTTTCTAAAGAGTCAACACTTCCTTGAGAACACGCCTCCCGCAGGCAAGCCAGCCATCCCCAACAACCATGTTCTCATCAAACTCACACACTAAGCCAGAATTTCCCCTGCTCTACATCACCCCAGAGCCAGGTACCCGGCAAACAGAGATCACACTTGCAGCCCTAAGACCACTGGAATTACCCAACATCACCAATCCTGAGCCATGTGCTCTGCCCTGTCTGGCGTTTCCTGAAGAAACACCAGTAAACACAGGACTAGGATTTCCCCTCACTCCCTTTTCTTCCTCTAGACCAAACGCTGGTGCTTCCCCAGGGAGTTCTGCATGGTAGGGCATGCCCCAGGTCCTCTTGGGAAATGTTAAGTCATAAAATCTTCCTTCATTAACACTGGCCTGTTTTATATGCATAAATTAAAGTCCCATGGGTACAAATGAAACAGGGAACTTCAGAGGAAGAAGTGATTTTGAATGATAATGGAGAAGTAATGACTGAAAGTGACCATGGGAAGCTAAGAGAAAGTTCTCCCTCCCTCTCAAGCTTGTGGCCCACAGAGCATGGCAGGGACAAACTGGATCCACTTGAGAGAATGGCAAGAAAAGAGGTGCCTTGGCAAGAGGTACTGAGTAGGTTCCGAGAGGAGGAGGTGACTCAGGGAAGGTTAGGTATGAGAGAGAGGGTTCCAGAGGGCACAGTGGAGAGTCAACAGAAGGATAGATGGTGGGAGTTAACTGAGGAAACAAAGGGCAAGGCTTAGAGATCAAACAGGCAAATGGTAGGAGAGATGAGACCATCACTGAGGGCACCAGTCAAGAGGTGACTGCTGGAACTGTGAGTGAAGAGAGGCCAGCCGAGCATCCCAGGAGGATGCTCGGAACTTAACAACACTGAGCTCATACACCCGCCCCACACTGCTTTAAACACTGCTCTGTGCACTTCTGAAAAAAGTGTAGTTTACAAACACTGAATTCAATGCTCCCATTTCTGAAGAACAAATAAACAGTCCAACTTGCATATTTCAAGATACTTTCAACTGTTTACTTGCACTTCCCACACTTTTATCTAATGTACTGCACAACTTTAAGCAATACTGAGAGCTGTTCTAGAAGAGGCCTGTGCAGTAAGGTAACGAGGAAAGTGAACGAGAGGAGAGAAGTTGGATGCTAACCAATCCCAACAGAGGCAGCACAGTTAGTCTGGTCTTTGATCTCCGTGCGCACTGCGTTTGCAAATTCATCGGGAGTGAGCCTGGTCTCCGCGAGGATCTCAGTGATGTCCACCAGCGCCTCATCACAGCTGACGGCCTCGATCTTGTGCGTGTAGCTGTCAACAAAAAGCACAAGCAGTGAGGCACAGCCACGGCCTGCCACCTGTCATCACAAAGGTGCAAATACAATCTTTCCACGGCATCCCCCTCCAGCACCTTCTTACAAGGCTTAAGAGGATAAAAAATCAGCATTTTCATTTAACTGGCCTAAGTGCCACTATTTAGTCACCTAACTTTTAACTGTAAAGTTAACTAGTGTTTTCTCTTTTTCCACGTTATCTACCAAAAACACAGCAGAAATTATCATTCCAGTCTCTCTATACTGAGAATACCTTTGCGAACCTCGGAATACTTGAAAAGTAATGGGTGAGTAAGAACTGTCAACATTTAATCTAAAAATTTTTCAGACATGGTTTACCAGGGTTCTTAAAGAACAGAGAAATCATACAAATCCGTCACGTAAGTAATCAATGCTGTCCTAAACAAAAACGCCACAATTCCACACCATTCACTGTAGCAGGCCTCAGACACAGTGTAGGATGGCCAATCACCCCACAGGCCTGTCTAAAAGGACACCTTTTACATTCCCAGCATGCGGAACGACTTTAGGTTGTTTTTGGTCACGATGTATCCACACAAAACCTTGCTTTAATTATCTAAAGAGGAAGAGGAGAGTTGCCATATGGCTCCCATGCTAATTAAACACATGGACCACAAGTGGGAGGAAACCAGAGAGGCCTCAGGACCAAATGTATCTTCAGTAACCCACCTGGTGATGTGCACTAGGAGGCACAGACCTCATCTGTCACCTACTCCTTCCTGTAGGTAACAAGTCAGACTAATGTCATATTCATTCAGAAAGGAGTGTTTCGCTTATGCTAAAATAAGGGTGACCTCTGTAGGAGCAGAAGGGCATACCTGACTTGAGGAACCTGCTGCAGAGTAAAAGCTGCCCTGAGGCATGGTGACTAGGAAGCTGAGGCAGGATTTCCAAAGGGCCGGAGGAGGCTATCACTGTTTTCCTCGAATAGCCACATGCCACCGAAAATGTCTCAACAGACTAAAATTCTATCAGGACTAGTACATGCATGGCTGGGAGTTGGCTCTGGGACCCAGAGCTCAAGAGGACCACTACTCAGCTGAGTCATCCACTCCCAGCCCTCATTAGGACACAACTACTGACCTCAGCTTCAGACCAGGATTAAAACGCACACTTTTCACTCGGCAATCCCAACATTCCCGTATTTGGGTCTTAAGGACAGCTGTGATCACACCTGGGGCTCATCATTCAGCACTTAGTCCTGCATACTGATGTCAGACAACTTCATCTGCCCCTTTATATTTTCTCTCCTGCTAAAGTAAGCTCCCACAAAGGCAGAGAGACTGGACCTCATTCCTCTCTGTAGGACTAGCAGCATCAACAGCTGTCTGTATCAATGGATACCCAATAAACGGGAATTCAAAACACTGCATAAGAAAGTCAAGGAAGACACGAACACCAAACAGAAAGTCCATCTCCTAGAACATCAATACAGCCCAAGGGTCGACACACTCTGGCCCATGTCCAGATGCCCGTTTTGGGAAATAAATGTAGCGGAACAAGATACCACTTGTGGCTGCCTGCACGCTACACAGGAGAGGCGAGTGGTTGGGACACAGACCTTACATGGCCCATTACAGAGAAAATGTGCTGATTCCTGCTTTAGAGTACATATGGTCTGGCATATACTTATTTTAAATTTTGAGTTCTAAATTAATATTAAATATACCTACACTGTAAATGTTTTAAAAGTTAATCTTTTCTCAAGTCAACTAATCAACCACCTTGAAAATATTACTAAAACTAACTTATAGAAACTAAGTTTTGGCATAGACAAAGGGTTTTAGAGTGTCTCTACTTGTTAACCAGTCATTTCTAATTTTAAACAAAATGATTAATTCTAATGTAATAAAAGGGAATAACCAGGTTTTATATTCCGATCCTTCATCGGTCTGGTCTAGAGAACCACTGACTCCAGGTTATGCACATGTAGAATCAGATTTTACATCTGACCAAGTTTAGCAGTGCAAAAAGACTGAGCTACCGACTACTGGAGCTACTCAGAGAAAGGAGAAAAGGCTGTCATGCTGGGATGCTGAGGAAAGGCTTCCTAAAAGAGCAAAAAAAAAACTAGCAAAAGCAACTCTTGACAAACTGAAAGCACCTGGACTGTTTGCTATCAGACAGAAGGAAAACAGACATGCAGTGATGATATCACATACTGTACCTTGCCAATGTCTCATACATTGTGCGTGCAACTTCTTTATATGCATGAAAATCGTACGGAACAGCTTGAAGATTAGGACAAAGTTGTTTAGCGTACCCAAAGAACATTCCATTCTTAATACCAACTTGTCTAGAGAAAAAATATAACACAAGGTTATACTAAAGAATATTAAACGCAAAATAAAGTATCAAATACATTGATACCATATCCCATGCCACTAAAATACCAATTTTCATTTAACTCCATTCTCATTAGGGGTAAAAATAAGCATTAAAAAATATACAGGTTTGTTTTCGACAAAAAGGAAAATTACACAATTGTCTGATTAGTGTAAATGACATGTGAAGATGTGCCAAAACATGTTATCACAAGGTATGGCTCTTGTCTGCAATGGAAGATTTCTCCTAAGACTCAGACCTCTCCTCTGGTCCCTTTGCAGAGATGCCAGCTGCCATATGCTGGTGATGTCACAACCACCAGAGTAGGAATGTGCAATCAAGGAGATGCTTTCTTCCCCTGATACTGGAATGATTTGGCCAAGGCTCATCCCCCAAAGACAAAATATAAACAAAAGAACTATACAAAACAGCGCTATGTGACAAACAAAATGTACTAATCCTACTTCCACACAGTTCCCAACTGACCAATTCCATGCTCCCCAAGTGCCACACAGTGGCTGTGATGCCAACAACACTGTGTGTGGCAGGACATCGGTCTTGGCAGGAGCCAAGGGTCCAGAGCTTTGAGGGACCTAACTGAAAATGGTAAATTTTAAATCTTTTGTATGTCTCAATGCCACGCATTACCATAAATAATTGGAGCCTTCTCACAAAAGTATAATTGTGGAATTATACATAATTAGTAAAATTACATTTTACTACTCTGCAATGAATCAAGAAAAAATATTCAGGTAAAAACACAAGCCAATAGTAGTAAGCAATGTTTTCACCAGATTACCTACTCCTATGGAAATACTTTGATGTATTTCCATAGGAGTATGTGCTTACTTAGTAGGGAGGTGTGCCCTGTTTTAGGAAACATATAGTCTTTAATTACTCACAGGCCTCTGGCACTCTCCCCATCTCAGACCACCAGTGAGAGCCAAGAAAGAAAAGAATCCTCCAACTTACTCAGAAAAAATGCAAAATCACATGCTCTTCTCATATATACAAAAACAGTAATAAATTATCTAACTGCAAAGCCCCTAGTAGATGAGATATCTAATAGAAAGGAGAAATGACCATAAAGGAAGTGATGAGTGACAAACAGATGGTAAAACAAATTATTTCATTCATTCCACAAAATTTTGTATCTCAGGCATTCTGCAAGGTGGTGGGTAAGAGATGGTGAATAGAACCAGCGTCAGGAGGATCACAAGGATGTCTGCCCTCACCCCTCAAGGACGGATTATAATCCATGCACCTTGATTAGTACGCTAGGGAAGTACACATACAGGGGTGGGTAAAAGCAGGTTTATAGTTATGAGTACATGAAACAGAGTTTATTCTCGTAATATTATTTAGTAGTGTAATATTTCTCATACGAACTGTAAACTTACTTTTGCCAACCCCTATATAATAGTTTAGAAGTCTACACGGAAGCACATTAATAGTGTAAGACATTTTCAATAATGCTACATGTACAGGTTCAGCATATAAAGCTAAACTTACAAAGGTAAGTATTCATTTTTAAAGGAATGTATCATATAAGTCCTATAAACATCATATTCTTACATTTACAATAATTTCATTTTTAAAATTTTCATTACACAGAAATGTTCAGGGTGTGTTACTTAGAAAAATAGAACACATCTCATGCTCACGCACATTCCCATCCTGAGACAAGTGTTTAGGAGCCACTAGACACTGTAAAGAAGCTACGAACAAAAAAGGAAAACCCAGGTTTCCCATAACCAAGGGAAGCAAAAATACCTTGAGTCAATGGTTGAGAATGAGGTTTATTTCATGTAAAATAAATAAGCAAAGACAATCACAAAACAGTCTGCAATGACTCTTCACTACAGTGACTCCTTTCTTATTCCTGCAACTAAGATTCTGCACAGGATACACATCAAAGTTCCTGTGTGTGTGGCAGTAACAGCTTTTCCCGGTTCTCACTGCAGAGATCATGGTCTGTCTTGCAATATGCTACGCTCAGACAATTGTTCTTGGTGTTGGATAGGCAATATAAAAGAAATTAACCACTAAATCACTGTCACTGTCCATTCGATATACTAAAAGACATCCATATCACTACTGAGAAGAGCAAAGGGTCCTTACAAAAGCCCATGGAAGCAGAGGTTAAAAAGTTATTTGATCTTAAAAATCTATGATTCTAGGATATTTGTGTATCATTATGTACTCATCCACATATCCATCTTCTCACTGACATACAAAGCTTGTTCTTTACAGTAAGTATGGGAGAAACTACTAACAGTAAAGCATAGTCTGACCGACATATACACAGTCTACCTTTCTGTGACTTCTAACAGCTCATGTGCATGTTCCATTCTTTGCTGATTCCATTATTAATCTGTCTACTGAAAACTCACTGATGCATAAAACTGGGATAACCATCCCACAGTTCAGTCCCCACTCCCAACCCAGAAATATCTCTGATGCAATTGTGAATACACTATTAAAAAAATCTTGTCTGGCCAGCATAGCTCAGTTGGTTGAGCATCGACCTGTGAACCAGGAGGTCACTGTTCGATTCCCCTTCAGGGCACATACCGGGGTTTCGGGTTCCATCCCCAGTAGGGGGCATGCAGGAGGCAGCCAATCAATGATTCTCTTTCACCACTGATGTTTCTCTCTCCCTCTCTCTAATATCAACAAAAACATATTTTTAAAAAATCTTCCCACTTCAAGAAAATATTAGGTAGCCACAACAAAGGGTAACCAAAAACTGTTTTCTGGAGACCTTTATTAGCAATAAGCCATCGAGAAAATGGAAAATTACAACTAAAAGTTGGTTTTTCCCCAACTTACACTCAAATTCATTTTCATCACTGTCTGCATCTCCTTAAAAAAACAAAAATCTGCCATTTAAGTGTCACTTAAATGGTTTGCTACATACCATTTGGCCCTCATACACTGTCACCTCAATTGTTCAGTAATACACTCAGCCTGACAATCGCTATCAGTGATACAATACAAATGCACAATCCAAACCCAAACAGAAGCCTGGAGTCTAGACACAACTGTGGCTACGGGAATCCAGAGCCACTAGGAGCTGGGGACACTCCTACCCTGGAGTCAGCCTCAGCAGCCAATCCAGCATTCTGCTTGAGGGCACCGAGAAGAGAGATCCTGCAGAGGCAGCACAGAAAGGGTGGAGCTTTCACTGCAAAACCAACAAAACCAGCAAAACCCAAAGTCTGAGACAGTCTTTGGGCTTCATCACACCATCCAGATCCGGGACACAACTATCCAGTCATCAGAAGCACAGTCACTACTCAATAACTCAGTCAGGGGAATAAGACCGGCCTATTGGGCACAACATGAGATCAGCTATAACTTACCTTTACAAATAAAAATAGGCCAACAAAAGGCATCTGTAGTGGACAATTAGTTTTTTTACTAAACTAAGTTTCAACTCGGCTACATTACCAACAAACAATAAAAAAAATTAAAATAATTTTGTCAACAAGAAAGGCAAAGTTAGTTTGGGAGTAAAAGTCTGACATGCCACAAGTGGAAAATAATTTAAAATAGTTTATAATTATGCTTTTTTTCTTAAACATCCTTTTATAAAACAATTGGAAAATTTTAAATAAACTATTTGTTAGATGATGAGTTAAAATTTTTTGTTCAGATTAGACTTGCTTAAATAACCCCAACTTTTAATCAAGACCAAAAAAATGTTACATATATCAGATGATTATCATGTACACTTGAAACTGGATCTGAATTTTAAAACAAGTTTGAATGACAAAGCCATAAATATGCTACCTAACTTCTCTCTCTCAAAAAAATACTGAAAAATATAACTGATGTAAGACTCTGTTTTTATACTTTTTAAATTAAATACTTCAACACTTGACAACAACATGTAAATGCCTGCTGTGTTATAAAGGTAAAAATATCTGTGTTTAGTTATCAGAAAAGAAAACAAAATTAAAGACTGCTCTTTTTAATTAATCAATTCATTGTTACTCCCGCTACTTTTACAATTATTGTAAGAGATTATTTTAAATGACTGATTTTTTTTAAAGTATGAGAAACATATATAGTATGTCCGTTTCTTCTTGTACTGAAACAGCCCATGGTAATTAGGGTTTAAGGTTACTGTAAGATAAAGATCGACACACAAAGTTGGCGCTAACAAGTGGAAATACTGACTAATATAAGTGAGATTACTGGGTAAGCCAGTATGGAATTACTTACTTTTAACTTAACAGGCAATCAAGTTTTAACATAATTTTAAAAAGACACTGAGTTATTAAGGGTTTAAATCACAAGGTATTTTTATTAGCTGTTAAAGGAATGATTAGAGTAGAAGAATACTAAAGCCCTCATTCAAAAGTATCTAATTCTTCAATTCCATGCTTCGAAAGACAATGTGTTAAAAATGACAGTGTCCAATTCCTTTTGTTTTCCACTGTAGGACCTATGGGTTCATCAGGAAACTATTTATTAAAAGTTATCTACATTTTTAAGAGGGGGAAAAAAGAAACTGAAGGAATTAAGGCTAGAAACATTTCTTTCCGTAACACGTCTGTAACATTTTTAAATCACAGTCTGAATCCACTTGCAAAGATTATATAAAAATAATTAAGTAAAATTAACCATCCCAAGTATTACACAGTTAATTTCTACGTACCTGGCTTCGTAACTACAAGATGCAATTTCAGCCTTTGACAAAACAGAATCAATTCCATTCATTTGTGCAGAATCTTGATTCTCCCACAGCGATGAATCTGGAATATCTGCTTTAAAAATAAAATTTAATGATTATATGTTAAAAACTGGTTTTCATTCAAGAAATATACTTTCCATTCAAATAAATTTATAAGTAAAAGTAAATTTATACAAATTTATAAATAAAAAATAAATGTATATATAAGTTTAATAAATTCCAAATATAGTTTTATCTCCACTGTTATTTATCTCTTTATTTAATAAAAGAAAATCTGTAACTCTAAAATAGTTTGCTTCCATTAAGTTCTTCACTAGCAGTCAGATAAAAATTAGAACAAATTGAAAGTATTCTGTTTTAATAATAATTTGTAAAAAATAATCAAAAGCTAAATACAAAACATCCCCTGACCCCAGTCCCTTGAGATGCACAAGAAGGAAACATGACCAGGATGATCAGCCCTCCCCTCCTACAGCCTCAGAAGGACTGTGCAGCTCTCTGTAATGGGAAACAGTTAAGGGAAAACATAAATCTCTCCAAATGTTCTTTGCCGTTTGCTAAAAGAACTATCTGCAAAACTTAAAACTAATTAACATGATCAACAAACATCAAATTCCTACAAGTTATTTGATCAAACAGTAATTTAGTAGGTCACATACCATAAAGTGGTTTCATCCAAAATTTAAGATTTTTCTTTTGAACATACATCAGGTAAAAGAGCTTCACAACATTACCCCCCTTCCAGGAAATTCTATTTTTTGTTTAACAATGCAGGTTCAATTAAACATTAAGTGTGATCAGAATACCAACTGCTTTACAGAATACAACTCTAGCCTGAATAGTACAGCTCACCAGTATTTCTTCCTATCCAAACCAAAGTGACAGTATTACACGTGAGTATGAAAGTACAGTCTAGGGAGCCTGCGAACCACAGCCACTTCACTTCCCTTAGACCACCGTCGGCCTCTCTAGTAATTGTGAAATAGGTGAAAACACAACTTCAGTTACAGGTCTCCTGGATAATGCTATAAGTTCTAATAAGAATATGTTTTAAAAACATAATTCTAAAAAAACAGTCTCAGCTAGTTCTATTATGAACAAAAATACCATTAGTTAGTAAAACAAGACCAATATATACCACTTCAGCTAATTCTAGACAAACCTATGAGTACACTGTAACAACACACAACTCACAAACTCAGCATTTCTCTTCGGTTTACTTCAGACATAATTTCCATGAAAAAATCAGTCACATTCAAGCATCACCAGAAAAACATGGCAAAGTGTCTGGCTTTGTGGGCTAAAATGACCGCTCCTCATTCAACTCCAGTAAACATCTTTTTACAAACTATGCAACCCACACAAGCATTTCTGGATCCCGGCACCCATACATGCAAAGCATAAATGCAAACCAAACTCTGAGGTCTGGCATCTTAATGAGGTCAAATCCCACTTACATAAAAAGTAAAAACAGCAGAGTATATAATTTGAGCTATGATTTCTGATATATTGTGACTAACAGGCTATACTATGACAAATTAAGGACAGAATGCAGAGCAGACTACTTCTGAAGGGTTGGAAGATTACATAGCAGCTTTAACAGTCCAATACTCTAAGCTGAAAATCTTTAAGAATTTCAGGATTTTGAGTATCACAGTTAAAGAGGCTGCTACTAAACAACCACCACAAAAAGCTGAAGCTTGAACAGCCACAACCAGCTGCATTTCAAAGGTATAACCATGAGTTATGCATTAAAAGTTGGGGAATTAGATGACTTATATTTGAAGGGCTAGTTAAATAATCTCAGATACCCGTCTTAAGAATTACAGAAACCATGCTTGAAGTGAGAGCAGTATCTGAGGTTCCTGCGCTCCCAAGGCCCTGCCTGAGAGGCAGCACATGGGGTTCCTCTTGGCTGGGCTGGGCTGGCTGACCTTTTCCACAGTGCAGCAGAGTACGTGGATCCCTCCACCAGCGGAGTGAGTTGCTTCAAGGGAGATTCAGGGAAATGCAGGGACACACTGTCCTCACTGGAGGGCAAAGTAGAGAACTGCTCATCAAAACTTGACAAACTAGACGGGCACATGGAGAATGTGGAGGAACGGTTGGAGAAATCAGAGGCCAGGACCCAAGTCTGTGAAAAAGAAATCGCTGAGAATAAATCTATGGCTAATACGATTTTTAAAACTGTTGTTCTTTAGAATGAACACTGAAGTTGTTGAAGGGACAGGAAATATCTGCATCCTGGAATCCAGGGAGGGATAAAAGGCCCCACCATGAAATCTCAAGTATAAAGGGATCCCAGATAATGAGGGTCATCAATGAGAAGTGTCACTGCTGAGCATCGCTCAGGAGGCAGCTACCAAAGGAAGCCACGATGGAGAGCCCTGCTTACGCTGTCTGTTAGACAAGCGTTTCTGAACATGACAAATAAGAAAATAAAGCTTTTACAAAGGGCTAAAGATGCTACTTGGTCTAATACTTTGCCTTGACATACAAGTCAAAACATTAGAACTGAATTTTTTTTTAAAGTTAGTGTGCAGAAGCCAAAGATTCTCATTCCTAACTTGATACTATTTTTAAATTTGGTATCATATCTAAGGACCCAGAGAAAGAAAGATAGGAAATAAAAAGGAAAGAGGAACAAAGGCATTGATAAAACAAGTTCTAAGTGCAAGCTTAGCTGTAACCAAACTTATTATAAAAAACAACCTATCCTTTTTATATGTGACAAATATTTTGGTAAGCTCTTAATGGGTCAAAAGGCTTAGGACATAAAAGTAAATGACATGAAGTTAAGAGAAAGAATATAAAATACAAAGCATCATATTCATCTTTTCTAGTGACAGGAAAATCTATTTTTGACAGTTTTCAATGGCAAGTGAAATTTCCATATTTCTCCTAATATTTACCTTCCAGTTTACCACCCACACTAGAGGTGGAGGGGATGTGAATTATATAAGGTCATTACAATGTCATGAAAATCCAGTGGCTAAACTGATGAAGACAACTAAGTAATCAATGACCGTAAGTATTTTGTTAATAAAAACGGTTTATGGTGAGATCATTTGTGAATGAAAGGAAAGAAGTAAGAGGACTGGCTCTCTGCTACTCCTAAGAAACATTTGCTTGACAAGGTCAAAATTCCAGATGCAGACTGCTGAAACAAGGACGCGTGTGGCAAACACAAGATTCTACCCATGGAGAATCTGAGCACTGAGTAACAGAGATGTTACTGACCGGTATGCACATAGTATTTTTTCCTCCTTTCAACGCTGATTCAGTAAGTTTTTGAGTGTCCAGTATGTGACAAGTATTGTGCATTTCCTTAAGCTACTTGTTTTCTAGAACTTAAGATTTCATCTTTTTAATCGTACCACACAGAAAATACAAAAAGAAAACCACAAAACCATACTACCAATACTTAAGAAGCTAACCATATTGTCAGATACCACAATACAACTAAATCTCAATAAACTCAATATACTCACTACAGCAAGATCTACTCATGACACCCGAAATGCTAGAATCTCAAAAATCTCTGAAAAGATTTAAAGACCAAGAAAAGCTTTAGGTAATCTGGAAAGTACAGACACACATGAAACATAAAGATGTATCTACAATTATTTTCTTTTATACTTATACCATGTAAACAGATGATCACAACAAAAAGACTAATTCCAAAAAAAGTTCTTAAGATGTCCACTAGCTTTCCTTTGGCCTTAATTTCATTGAGATTATTGCTAAAATAAACCCAAGGTTTTATAACTTAAGATTTAGAGACCTAAAATAATTGGGATGAAATTTAACTGCACACCTTCCATTCCACTGTATAGCTAATTTCTGTATGCTAACTGAGCATTTTCCTTTTCTTTTTGATTAGCATTTTTCTGACTTTTTTTTTCCCTGACAAACTAATTTTTAAGTGTTTTTGGCTTTATAAACATCCATGAGGAAACCGATCAATGTCAAAGAATTTAATTTCTAAGCAAATATTTCTCAGGGAATTTACGCAGGAGGAAAAAAAACATAAGAAAATCTTAATAGTATTTTGATTAATATAAATTTATGATTTTTATTTTGTTAATAGCCAAAATTTAAAAGCCAGAGAGGTAAGAAAATGTTTCTCATATGAAATAGGCTCAACAAAGATATGGGGAATGATTGCTGGTATTTATCTTATTCCAATAAACTAAAGTCCTACTGTTTATTATTCCACTGCCTCATACAAATCTTTAGCAGCATGAACTTTAGCATCTTTACTGTGATCAGTGATCAAACAACTAGCAATTAACTTGTGAGTCTAGAGGCTTCCACAAAATAATGTCCATGATTTTTATCCACAATCTAAATTTATACAAAGCAAACTAATCACAACTTCTAAAACATTCTTCCCTCTCTGTCCCAGGAAAATACCACCATCCAATTCAACCAAGCACAACTATAAACCAGTCAATGGTATTATGACATTTCAATTTTGCTCTAAGGTATCAATGACACCTTAGAACACTTGAATGAAAAAGCTAATTAATTCAACTCTGCTTTCGTTTCTATCATGACAATACCAAGAGCAAAATCCAGAAGTCTTCAACAGGAGCACTATGACTTCAAAGAGAGCTCATTACTGTACCTGCTTTGCCGTTCAGGATTTTATTCTGGTAATACTGCCACTCCAACTGGGGGTTAGCTCCAGGACGTAGAGGTGCCCTTCCTGTGCCTCTGTTACTTGTAACAGCCACTGGTTTTCCTGGGAGGAAAAGAATAAAATTATTTTAAAATCTAAATACAGGAATGTAAACTAACAACACGAAAAGGAAAATTTTTCAAAAGATTTTAAAAATATGACATTTCTTCTTTAGCATTAAGCGTTAATCCATAAAGGAGCTATTATCTTTAAAGATTATCAATCACCATGCACAAATCATTTAAGTTTCTCAGCACACCCCAAAAAGCAAACTACAGACAATTTTGATGCATTTATTCAACTTTAAAACATTATCACCTAGCTTTCCATGGTTTTTGTTTGGTTTCTTACAGTTAAAAAACAGGCAACTCAGACCCTAGATTCAGACTGGAGAGGTAGAAAGAGAAGGAACTAATCTAGATATTTAATATTTCTGATATCAGAAAAGTAGGGTAATATCTAAACAAGTCTTCTAATTGTATAGCAAGAGACACAAAATAAATATATATGCAGAGGAATCACAACCTGACGTACTATTTAATCAAATGTTGAGTATATAGTCCTCAGTTTTGGTTTATTTATAAAAAAGTTTTCATGTATCACTTCCTTGTGTGTGTGTTAAGTTACAAGATAACTGTACTTCTAAAGAAATAGCATAATTAATTCATACATATTTTACTGAATACATTTGTTGTGAGAAATAAACAATAATAAAAAAGTCACTCATGGGCTAAAATCAATCCTTCAGCATTTAAATACTCCTTTCAGGGCTGAAGCAGCAACTACTTATGACAAAAATAAAGCCCTAGTATTAACTCCAGCAGCCTTGTGCTTTCCTTAAAGGAAAAACTGACTCTCTGAAGAAAATGTTACATCTCTCAGACACAGAGAGAATCACTGAAAAATCCAGAATATTTTTTAAAGTACTAATTAGCTAACAAATACCTAAAATTCTATTAAAACAAAAACTGCACAGATGACATTTATTAGTGATATTCAGTAACACAAAATTACAATTAAAAAGTTGGAATGTTCACTATGTGTAAGACATTTATTCAAGAGGAAGCATAGTGACCCAAGTCCCAAGGACATGTGCTACCATAAAATTCCCATTTATTAACAGAGTAATAGTAAATAGAGATAAAAACATGGAAAATGCCCAATGTAGGCCCCTGCCTCCATAATCTAAGGACAGAGCCTTCAGTTGAAGAGTTCTTCCCTAAAGACCTGATTTCAACAGGGGAAAAACGTTTCTAATTTCCCTGTTTCTTTCATGATAATGGAGTGCAGACAATTTAGAAGCAGGAATTGATTCTGCCAAGGAAAATCAGAAAAATTTCTACAAAAATATTTTGTGATCCTTAGGATATATGTTTGTTTATAACAATAAATCAATTTTCTGAAAAAATAAACAAGAATACAGACCTTTGAGATCTGGTCTATTTCGTATACCCACTGATACAAAGAAGCAATCCATATCAACATGCATTATACAGCTCTGATGTCTGGGTGAACTCAACACTGACATATTTCCTAGAAGGAAAAAGAGAATGTTGAAAACACAAACTAACTTTTAATATTTAAAAAAACAGGTCTAGCTAATTTCATGTATTTTTAAATGCTTACAAGTAGAAGGATCTTAAAAAAATACAGAATCTATTACAGATTATTTCTATCACCTCAAGAAAAGGCAAATTTCAGTTTCTTTAGTTCTAAAAGTAATTCAGATACAGACTGAGCTTCCAAACAATTAAAATCAATTGTGAAAATACCATGTTTTTTTCCTAGTCTATACTCTACAAAATCTCAAATTAAAACTTTGCCTAAATGCTTAACATTTCTGTGTGCTATTTTATAACAATGTATAAAGGTGTTTTCATATGCTTAGTTCATGGAGCTAAGTAATTTCAAATAAACACCACCGCATGCAGTCTACAAACATTCCTCGATAGAGTAATAAAAACTGCAGCTAGCATTGCGAGCTTGGAAGGCATCTGCCTGCCGCAGGAGGTTTACATGTGAGAATCTCGACACTACGAGACAGGTAATCTTGTCATCCTCACTTTACAGATAACAACTTGCTTAAGTCACACAGCCAATAAGACACTGGGCTGGCTGGCACTCAGTCCCAGGCAGTCTAATTTCAGAGCCTTCAAGCTGAGGCATGGTTGTTCTAAACAGATACTCAAAAAATAGTTTAAGCAGCAAAAATCTGCATATAAATTCTCCTCATGCCATTAAATCCTATTAAAAATCAGCTCTCATGCTTATGCACCACTTTTAAGGAGACAAAGTGAGTGTTCTCTCTCAAGGGCTCTGGCTTCTAATCACCCTGCACAACAGGGTGTCGTCGGGGTTGTTTTAACTCTAACCCAGCCATAACCAGAGCTTTCCTCCACACCCGTCTCATCCTACCCTCTCCCCTAGTCCTCCAAGATACACTTTCTTGGAAATAAGACCCCTGAGCTTGTAAAAGTTCTGACCTCGTAAAGGAGTTTTCCTCTGGTAGATTTAAGAACTAGTACAGAACATTTCTCTTCAAAATAGGCTTCCACAAACTTACATCTACTGCCCAAAATGTTCAGAACACTCCGTTTCCTAGGTCGTGACTGTGAAAGCATTTACATAGTTCTACATGCAAGGCACTGAGCCTCTGTTCATGTTATGTCCCTTCGGCTCCCAACCCCACCAGGTGAGCATGACAGACTATCACTCCACTGCAGAGAGGAAACTGAGACTCAGAGAGGTGAACTTATGTGCCCATGGTCCTGCTTCATGAGAGTAGCACAGTCAGGGTTTGGGTCAGGCTGTTACCTAACTCCAAAGCCACGGACTTCCTTGCTACCCTCTACATGACCTTGAGAAATGATTTATAAATCTTAACAATCACAATTCTGCTGCATAAAAGTATTATATAAACATAATGTAAACCACCCAAAATGTCGTCTTTAAACATTCAAGTAGTACAGGATGCATATACCAAACACCTACTGAGTGCTTTCATACAATATAAAATTTCTCATTTTATTCCCATTCACGGAACTAATTCATAAGAATTCTTGGAAGCTGTCAAAATTAAATGACCTTTAGGTTACAAGGCCAGGCATGATGTCAAGATAATCTAATACCTATAACATTATTCTAAAATATTTCAGCCTGGCCGGGAGTGGCTCAACAGTTGAGTGCCGACCTAGGATCCAGGCGATCAGAGTTCAATTCCCGGTTGGGGCACATGCCCGGGTTGCGGACTCGATCCCCAGTCGGCGGTGTGCAGGAAGCAGCCGATCAATGACTCTCTCATCATTGATGTTTCTCTCTCTCTCTCTCCCTCTCCTTTCCTCTCTCTGAAATCAATAAAGATATATTTTTTTAAATAAATAAAATATTTCAGAAATAACAAAAAGCACTTAGGAACACATCAAGCTGCAAAACACAACAGAAAAAGCCCATATAGCAAGGCTCCCTCACTTTCTAGGACAGAACCATGAGCTTCTCTCTGTACCTCAGTTTCCACAGCTATAAATTAAAAGGTAATATTAGATATTCTCAGAGATCTGTAAAAAGCAACTAAAGCCTCAAACCAGATACTAATTTATCATAACTGGTACAGAAACATAGCTTGTTATTATTGGTTTTGTTGTTTTTGATAAGAAAAGTATTTAAAAAAACAAAACACAATTAACCAATCTACTTATATGTGAAACTACTTAATCTCACTAGAAGTTGACCACTGCAATTGTAACAACTATGTCAAAGTTACTTAATTACTTAAAAATCATTATGATGCAAGCTTTTAGAAATTAACACTCTTACCAAGCCAATTCATTCTTACAGGAGTTTAAGCACTGAATATAATACATGTTATATTTTACATAGTTCAAAACTTCAGTAACTAGTAAGGTCTACGTGAGGAATGAATGTTAAAAACCTTATTACTGTTTAAATTAGCTAAAATATTTCAGTTAGCCACACTTAAATCTAATTTTGTAAAAAATATTCCAATAAATAAGAAAGCTTTCTTATTTCAATAAATAAAAAAGTATAATCTGTTGTATTTACTGTAATTTACATAACCTGATATTCCCAAAGATTCTATACTATGAGAGCTTAATATTATCAGAATACCAATGATAGGTTAAGAACAAAATGATCCAGCATGTTGTTTACTAGGAAAACAATTTTAGTATCTACCTGTGTCAGTTACAACAAGTGCAGACCTGCCTGTTTTCATTTTTTTTAACTTTTCCCTTCCTGGGAAGATACCACTACTTTGTCTTTGTAGGGTATTGACAAACTCAGTCAGTTCACACTTCCACATTGATATGTGATGCAGTCTTGAACGAGAATAGAAGTCTGAAATAAAACTGCAGTCTGAGGGTCTGGGTGGCACTGAAGGTGCTGCCTTGCTAAGAGTAGGTACTGAAGTGCTTTTTGTGCTTGAAGGCCCCTGAACAGTGGAGTGGTGAGCACCGTTTATTTTAGTGTTAGTGTGCAAAGATGATAATGAGGAATTAGTTCTGTGTGGATTCCGAAAAGCATCTGTGTTCCTGGTGCTCTGCTGCGATGGCTGCACACTGCAGTCTCTGAAGTCGGCGCTGCTGTTCTCGGCCTCCTCTTTCTGGGCAGAGTCCGGGGAAAGCCTGCTGGCAACACTGTGGCCCACAGGCAACCAGCAATCCTGCATCTTTAAGGCACCATTAGAGCTATGAGTGTGGCCATTAAGAACTGCAGCGCTGCCTCTGTGATGCGGAATCCCGTTCTGTTTCCTTCCTGGATAGATCTGCTCCAGCTCCGCAAAACTAAAATCACTACTGGCATCTTCTTCAGTCCAGCTGTTCATTCCATTGGCTCTGATGTCTTTTTCTGTCTCAAGCTTCTTAATTATGTGATTTCTAAAGCAAGAAAAAAATTGTTCTTAAATTAATAATGTCTTACTTTCAAGCTAAAATAATTTTTCATTTAAACATTGTCTTGGTGATACCCACTTTGATATTTCTCCCCCTAAAAATTGAAAAATTAAGCCACAAGTTTTATAGTCTTTTTCTTCCAACAAAAGATAAATCTTTGCTAAACCAAAGCAGCAAAATAACTAGGAAAAATCTAGAACATTCCCAGCCTTTTACTTTTTTTTTAAGCTTCAGACATCCTCAAAAAAGATATACAATGGAATCCTTTTAAGGTTAAGGAAAATCAAAAAACTATTTTCAACTACTCTTCCCATCAGAAATTAATTGGAATCTGTGAGCTCTAAATACCCAGTTTGTAGCACAGTGTCTGGCCTGTACTAGGTAGTCAGTAAATATTTGCTGAATTAATGCAATATGAGTAACTCCCATAAAAATGGGTAAGAAAGGTTGAGTTCTTAATTCCTACTTTTAACTTCAGTTTTATGTAAGGTATTTTTAAACACATTAAATCCAATGTGCTATAGTACTGAGGCCAGTATTAGTTTCACTCAGGACAAGACTAACAGACCATACTCATTAATCACATAAGGGGCCAACTGTTCACAACTGGATAAAAAAGAATAAACCCGTCTGTGTGTGTGGGTAATTCAATTCAGTAAAATATATACCTAGAAAACTGAGGACACATGCCCTAGTAACAAGGGAAATGGCATTTCATTTCTAAGAAAAGCATATTTACATGCCGAGTGGCCCAGGGCAATCTGAACCAAGTTTCCTGACAAAAGATTTCTAACACAGGACCTATGACAAATGTTATGCTAAATTCACATGCTGGCTCCTCTAGGTATTTGCGTAGTAATGCTCTGTAATAAATACAAAATTCATTGGCATTCACAAGAATCACCTAAGTAACAAAAACAAAAACCTGAATTAGGGAGCAATAATGCATTCTTAGAGACATCATAGTATTAATCTAATTACATTTCAGGCTCCAGATGAGGGTGCCATAGGCAAAGGTGAGATTACCACAGTATTACCAGGTTTAATCTAAAGTCCCTCACCCTAATACCAACATGGTATATCAGTAATGGAAGTCTGAATACACAGAAAAGCCACACGAGTCAGATGCATTTCTGGGTTGGCTCTGGCTGATCATCTATCTCATAGAATATGACGGCCAACTCTGAGTAGGTCCAATACTCACAGATGACCATGCCAGAGAAAGGGAAAAAGAAAACCACTAGAAACAATTAAAAGAGGAAGAAAAGAAAACCTAATTTGCTGTATGTCAGAGAAAGTCTGGCCCTTGAGATAAAGAGAAAGCTAGGGAGCAAAATGTCACACAAAAGAATTCCAAAGAAATTGTAAAATGTATTGAACATACTGAAAAATAAAGATCACAGTAAGCAACAAAAGTGAAGTTAGAAGTCTTAACATGTATTTTTCTGTGTCATAAATATTAAGATTCTTTACATATTTACTAGCAACATATGCAACAGAAATGCATACAATGGCAGAAAACACCTTGCAAATACACATTCTTTCTGTTTTTCAGTCTAGACAAGTGGATATTTACAAAGTAACTGTACGGGAAATACATCATCAGTTAACATAACATTTATTAGGCAACAGCGTCAAAGTATCAAGTAACACCTAATAGGTAAATTTTTCCTAAAATTTACACAAAGAATTTCAAAAAACAAATATAGGCCCCCTTATCTGCAGTTTCACCTTCCAGTTTCAGGTACACACAATCAGCTGTGGTCTGAAAATATTAGATGGAAAATTCCAGAAATAAACAATTCACAAGTTTTATATTGCACACCTTCCTGAGTAGCCTCATTACTGAGGCATTTTATTTTCTCCCATAAGGGTGTGTACAGCACAATAAGGTATTTTAGAGAAAGAGAACACATTCACTTAACTTTTACTCCAGCATATTGTTATAGTTGTTCTATTTCATTGTTATTTCGGCTAATCTCTTACTGCACCTAACTTATAAATTAAACTTTATCATAGGTATGCATGCATAGGAAAAAAACATTGTATATATAGTATTTGTACTATCCACGGTTTCAGGTATCCGCTGGGGATCTTGGTACATAATCCCAATCCCCTGTGGATAAGGGGAACTACCATATCTATTTTTCTACTTTTATTAGTGTAAGAAAAAATATGAATTATGTATTTGAGAAGATTTTCTGTTATTACTTGTACACCTTCATGGTACTAAAAAAAATTAAAAGTTTTCAGTAACTTGAAAACATCTGAATATGCTTGCAAATGAATACAAGTTAAAGAACAAACAACAACAACAAAAACCACGAAGGCAGTGAGTGATACTGTATCCTCCCAGGTCAGATCCCTGGTCTTTTGGAAAAGATACATCCAACTCCCAAAGCAAGCAATTTAATAAATAAGGAGAAGGCTGATGATGTTAATGAGCCACTTGACACACAAGTTAAGGTAACACACCAATTAATTTGAAACCAATTAACCCAGGATTATTGCAATTAAAGCTTAAATTAATATATTTTTAAAAATCAGTCACATGGAATAAACTCTAGATTCATCTCTAACTCTATAACATTTAGGGTCACCAACTAAATTTTTATTGATATAAAATATTTACATATTTAGAATTGTCATGAATTTGGAATTTTTCAAAAATAACTGGAAATGTTAGCATTTTAAATTGTCTTCCTATGCATGGCACATAAAAGTATAGCTGGCATGGTTAATTCAGGTTTCGAGAAAGCAACATTCTATAAGCAAATTCCTTGTGTGGAAATAGTTATTTTCAGAAAAAACCATGGAAAATTTTACTTGTAATAATTTAAGATCCATTAGTTTAATATGGGAATCTAAAATGACTGAAAAACCTTCTGTTCACATTTTACTTATGAAGCTTTCATGATAAAAATAATTTTTAGGTAAGACACCCACACACCTACTTCAGCATGTTTAATATAGATGAATGGCCAGGTTATATAATTGTTTCTTATCTTCAGCAGAGCAGGAACCATCCCCACTGCTAAAACCCAGGTTTGTAGCATTACCACTCTAGACAAACTTACACCCTGTGGTTGAGCTGTCTGGCTCTACTGCTTGGACCAGGTGCCGGGTCCTCAGGTTTGCATACAGGATTGAAGCTGAGACCTTTCTGCACAGTAGACTGCTTGCTGTACAGCTGATAGGGAATGTAGGACAGGAGTCGTCCAGCTTTGATGCTGTAACAAAAAGTAACAGCAACTTAAGAAGAGATCAACACTTGGGGGAAATGAGCTTTCCTTGAAAAAGCAATGTTCTTAATGATGGGAGTATCTCACCAGCAAGCCATCTTTCCTATCAGTCCTCTCCCTCTGTCTTTGTGGTCCTAATATAACATAACCTCACTCTGAAGAATGACATTCCACCCATGAAAAGACACACATCTGAGATTTTAAAAATCAGTGGCCAACAATCCTACATGAGGGAGAAAAGCAACTAGAGTAGGATGAGAAAAGCACATAGTTGGACTAGTTAGTATTTTCATCTTGACTTTAATATTGACCACAACTTCCCCTCAAGTAATTATACAATCATCAAGACTGTCTCAAATCCCATCCATCTCACATATTAAGTTTTCCCAGAATAAGTAAACTGGATGAAGATTCCCAATTCCCACAATTCATATTAGGTCTATTAAATGTGAAAAATTGTAAAATAGTCCTGGCAGGTGTTACTCCGTGGTTAGAGCGTCAGCCTGCACATTGGAGGGTCAAGGGTTCGATTACCTGGGTTGCAGGTTCAATCCCTAATCCCTGCCCCCCAGTCGGGTTGTGTGTGGGAGGCAACCAATAGATATGTCTCTTTCACATCTCTCTCTCTCTCTCTTCTCCATCTCCTCCCTTCCACTCTCTCTACAAAAAAAAAAAAAAAAAA